GGAACTGATCCGGCATTCGTATAATTTTGATATGAGAAACCACAGAAAAGTACTGATGAGAGCAGCAGGCCGCTAGAATTTTCCTCCAGAAGGCGCAGCTGCTTAATTCAACTATGTAGCCAGAGTCGAAAATCATGTCTCCATCAGAACTCGAACCCTAGGAACGTCCGATCATAGAAACTACAGTTACATCTATTGATGCCCTGAGCCACCTGATCCGGTTCCAGGTGAGAGAATAACTGAAAGACATCAATTATTTACAGGTTTGATTTATTTTCACAGCAATACAGAATGCAAAAGTTTCTGAATTAGGTGTTTAAAGAGAATTGGCAAGGAAAATCGGATAGAAAAAGTAAAATATTTAAACAACGATCGGAGTGAGGCATTCTAAATATACTTTACAAATTGCTATGGTATTCTGCTGTTAATTCCATGAGTGGAATAGTCATAATAAACTTCTTTGGGTTTGTAAATAGCGTGATGAAATGTTTCAAGATCACTAACGGCACTACAGCAGTGTTTATATTGACGGCACACATATACAACTATGTGGGAAGATGTCTGGGGAAATACATGGACCAATTCATATAGTACTGGTGTTGACAACTTTACTGCAACGCTCTACGTTAACCTTGAATTAATGCTTTCACTGAAAGAGTATTTTCTAACATGAATTTTTTTGGGTAAGTGAGAAGAACGCCCTTTCAGTAAAAACTTTGAAAGCAATTATAATTAGTGAGGTGATTTTTAATGACACTGGTGTGAAGTTTTACAACTAATGGGAATGCATATGATAACGAAACTTTTCTTCCTCTTAGTGCCACTTATTATTACTCAAGAACTACTCCAATTTTTAGTGCATTTAAAAGCTTAACATTAAGGGATAAATTCCATTGAGAAAGAAATGTCTTGCTTTAATATTGAAGGTATAGGACCGGGTCAAATATAAGTTTGAACTTTGCAAATTTCAAAACTTTATAGATTTTAATGTAAGTGGGAACTGTTTCATAAATGCATATTCTTTTATTCCAGCAGAAATGTTGAAGAAAAATTGCAAGCCAAAAATCTTTAATATCTCACAGACGTATCGTGATCACTACCCGAAGAATTAACATTTCTTCAATTATAATCTTTAGAACAGCAAAGAATGGAACTAGATCGGTGAAATATGATAATGATGTCTGGAACGGAATTAGATTTTACTCCTGAAGTATTTATCATGATTTATGAACATAGTTCAAAACCTAATCTTATGACAAAGTTATGCGAGCCACGTTCTTGCGTCTGCCCGTCTCGCTTTACATACATATTACGTGTACTATACTATAGCAGAGGGAGGAAAAGAAAAAAGCTGAGTGATAAACACAACTACCCAAACTGACTCCATTCATTAAAAAAAATATCAATGAATACTGCAAGAAAGTTCTATAAAAATTCCGTGATTGGTGTGCATTGAATACTTCTACGGTATGTTGGTCACATTTATTTATTTATTCATTCATTCGCTTCAAACCTTAATATTTATGATAAACAATATTTTTAGAACTCTCTTGCTCTTTTTTCGTCAAGCAAAGGTTAACATGATCCGTTTTCTAGTGTGTGTGTTTTTTAAAATCATGGTCACCTCAATGTAGGGGGACTGGGCGAGGGAGGGGGTGCGTTTCTTTTTAGGAAGCGCCGGGGGCGTCGAGGCGCACTTGCACACGCGAGTAACGGGACGCGCACGCCCGCCCTCCCCCCTCGCTCCTCACTCCCGCGCTCAACTCCGACCTTTTCAAGACCAGCCGCTTCAAGGCGACGTAACAGTGAAGCAACAGCCGGCGCACCGTCACGGCGCGGCGCGGCGAAGATGACGCCGCCCCCCCCCACCCCCACCCCACTTCCCATCCTCCGGGGGTTTCCTTCGACGCGCTGTCGTGAAAAAGCTCACTTGGTCGAAACGTTCTTTTATTGACTAACCGTTGTTTCCGGGTACGCCGACTGCGGTGGGCATTAGTTCCGTTAGTGTAGAGGATGTTTTATCCCGTGAGGTAGGAGCGGTGCTTCTCCCCCGCTGGACGGTAAGATCAGGCGCCGACTTACATGTCAACTGCGTGGGATTTTCCTATTCAGGTATCTCCCCCAATGAGGCACCGCCCCTGCTGGGACAAGTCGTATCTACCGACTGTTACCCTTCATGCGCGGTAATGTAGTGCGTGTGTGTGTATGACGGTAAAAAAGGAGGGAAAGATCACGCGCGAACTTCTTGCGTTTGATAGGGCATTCTGCAGTTGATGGGAGAAACCACTGATCAGAACCGCATAGCGCTAGAATTGTCCTTCAGACAAGAGAGTCAATGCGACCTAGATAGTTTTCTAGTTTTACATATCAATGTATTATTAAGAAGCTTGTTCATCAAGATGCCAAATACTGTGTATCAAACAAGGTTTCACCTACGTCAAACGGTATCCTAAAAGCGTTGAATTCTATCTTAAACAAAAAAGGCTAAATGTGAGCAACTTCTCTTGATGAATATCAGTATTTCATGGAGATGCGTCACTTGGAAATAAACTCGAGAATTTCGCATCTGGACACTGTAGGAGATCGAAAACATAAACGGGGGACCTGTGAGGGAGTGGTCAGACCGGTTGTCTTCCAGTGCTGGGACCGGGCTTCGAACACTGGTGGAAAGGTTCGCTGCAGGTTTCCTCGGTGTTTTTCTGTAGGGCCTATCGCTTATTCTACCAATGCTTCATCACCATACCACATCTTATTAATCGCCTAGGCATCAAAATCATTCACCCACCTCTAGGTTTGGCCATAAAAATGGACACTGGTATAATAAGACAGAACACTTCGCCGCCGTCGTCCGTCACCTTGGAACAGAGGTAAATCCAGAGGAAGGAAGAGGGCTTGCTCCTTCCAATAATACACTTTTTTGTAACTTTACTTAAATTTTCCAAAATAATTATCACTTAGTAATCGAAACACATTTCCTCATTAAGTTCTAGTAGTCAATATTTCAAAAACAAATTGGTGTTCAAGAAAACATTTTTCTTTAACAAAATAATAGAGAGATAAACCGAACATCTACCCTCTGAAACACTGCTCGCGCCGGCAAAGTTCCTATTTCCTCCATGCCTGATGGGGAAGTCGGCAGAGTCAAGCGACGAAATGTCGACCAATTCAGCATTCCGAATATTGATTTATGCAGATTTCTTCAATCAATTTTTTTTTGTTTTCCGTTTTTATGGGCGTAGTAATTCACAATTAATGTCTCAGCATTGAATATCGTAATTTAATAGTTCTTTCATTTTTATTTATTGTTCCTTTCTCAGTGATGCCACAGCTATTTTCGTCATTATCTCACATTGTCCTTTCCTACCTCCTGCGACATTCATGTTCCCAAAATCATATTCGTCATCTTCATTTATCTTGCCGTAGTCATCATCTCTGACACAGTCTTCTTGTCGGTATTCAGACATGTAGCTAATCACTTCCGTGCTCGTAACACCGCCTTGTATTCCACCTGTTTCTGTCGTCACCTATTTTCTTTTCCCGCCCCTTTCTCTCCTTCCTTGCTTCCCCCTCCTGTGTCGATCAACATGGCCCCCAACACAACGCTCCCATGGCCTTCATTATTTCCTCGTTCTTGTCCTTTTTCAATTCCGCATTTCCAAGTTCCGTCATTTCCCCTGAATTTTTCTTCGTCTCCATATGATTAGGCAGACTCAGCAGAGTTTATGAACAGTCCATACACCAAGGTAACACGTCTCCTAACCCAAAACCTCACCACTTAACGTCGAACGCTGAAAAGCCACTGCACCGAAGCTGAGTGGTCGCTGACTTCTGGCATTCGCATCTCGCCCTCATGGCATCCCCGGGTTGTTTTCTAACGAGCTTTTACCCTTCCGTACCTTGCTCCATCGGCCACTTTGGAACGGAGAGCCATAAACGTGAGAGGAAATGCAGGTACAGACATTTACAGAAAGATACGAAAGAGAAAGGATGGTTTGGAATGCTCGTAAAAGAGCCGTCATCCCTTAATAAGGCTTCAAGTTTTAATGTGAAAATGTAAGGTAAATCTCTCATTCAATAATTGTAGGAATTTTGTTTAGATTTATTTTATAACTACAACAATAAAACTAGAATGCGAGATCTAGAGTACTAATTTATCTATAAATACACAGAAGGATGTTTATAACTCTGATTAATTATCAATAGTTAATGATTCATTGTGCCTTTCACCTTCCTCCTGCAATATTGCGCCATCAGGTGGCAAGAAAATAATTTACATCTTGCCTACACTGGTGTGGGAGGAAATTTACGTTTCTCTCTTACGCTTTTACAAAATATTTCGTTGTGGCGTCAATGCTTTTTGTAATGTTCCGTTCGAAAGTTAAAACGGTACTTTTAATAATTACGGAATTATTGCATCTAACTAATTCACCATATTTTCAAAATAATCGTACTTTAAATTAATTTGTGACAAATGATGAGTTACACTTCTGTTTCCATAGCGCACCTTTCCTTTTCCGACGGTTTTATTTGTATCACTTCAGATCATCCGATTTTTCACATTGATTACTTTATGAACTTCATGAAAATCTGGAATATTAGCTTTACGATTGTACTACGTGCATTTACTTTTTAATACTTAAATACGTTTCCTCTGAGAATATGGACACTGCGCTATTCCCTGGACAAAGAAAAAATTATAAAAATTTGAAGAGTTTCCGTGATCTACATTTTATGAATCACATGTTTCGAGCTGATAACCGAAAACAGGAACTTCCAAGATCATTTCTCAACAGCATAGACACCTTTCCAACAAAATCGTTCGGGAATAGAAAGAAAATTGTGAAATGCTGCCAGTAGTTGTCAGTTTGGTATCATTTTTATATTTGCCTCTTCTAATCGCTAGCTAGGTTTTTATTAATACAGAATATAAAAGAAACATTTAAGGCTTTTAACAATTGATGTAAACGAGTGTAATTAGTATTGAGAAGAGCATCTACGAGCGAAATGGGCACCAGAACAAATTGAAGAATCTAATCCTCGTCTAGAAGAAATAGAAGGAAAAGGAGGAGGCGAAAAGAGAAAGAGAGAAAAAAGAAACAAAGAAGAAGAAAAAGAGGAGGAAGAGGCAGAAGAAGAAGAGGCAGAAGCAGAAGAAGTAGAAGAGGCAGAAGAGGCAGAAGACGCAGAAGAAGAAGTAGAAGAGGCAGAAGACGCAGAAGAAGAAGAAGAAGAAGAGGCAGAAGACGCAGAAGAAGAAGAAGAGGAGGAAGAGGCAGAAGAAGAAGAAGAGGCAGAAGGTGCAGAAGAAGAAGAAGAAGAAGAAGAAGAGGAAGAGGCAGAAGAAGAGGAAGTAGAAGTAGAGGCAGAAGAAGAAGAAGAGGCAGAAGAAGAGGAAGTAGAAGTAGAGGCAGAAGAAGAAGAAGAAGAAGAAGTAGAAGCAGAAGAAGCAAAAGGAGAAGAAGTTGGAGATGAATAAAAAGAAAAAGAGGCGCGTATGGAGTACGAGCCCGAGGCCAGCGCCCAAGAACGAGGCGGAGCCGGGGCGGGGAAGCCCCGTGTCGCCGGCTCCGCCGCCGCCGTCAAGGGGGCGAGAGGGCGTGGGCGCGCCCTCGCAGATCCGCCGCCGAGGGCGCAAGCGCAGACGCCTTGCATTCCTGCCATAGCGGCGCAGTGAGTAACAACGCGCACGAGACGCCGGATAAAGGTCGCGAGCGGGCGCGGTGCGGCGCGGTGCTGTGCGGTGCGACCTGCCTGCTGCCACGCGCGCGCGACCCACCCTTGGCGCCCCGCCCCGCCCAGCTCCGGCCGGCCTCAGCACGTACGTTGCCATTCGCTGGGAGCTTCTGTACACTCAGGAGTTTTTCCAGAGGTCTGGTTTACTATTTCACAATTCAAAATTAATATTGAGCATATTTTGTGCATTTATTGTATCGAAGAACAAAAAGTATGACGCTAAAAACTTCATAGTGTTTTCCCATTAGCGTTATACTCGTCCTTTAAAAGTCTAACAATATCTAGAGTAAATTACAATTTGATCCCGTTTTATTTTAGACAGTTCTTCAATTTGTATACTTGAGAAAGAAAATGATTTTCAAAAATAAATTTGAACTATCTAAAGTCAAATGAGATGAAACTAAAACTCTACTCTACGAATAAGATCAACGCAGAGATAACTAAAAATATACCAAAAAAATCCTTGTTTAGTGTAATTGGAACACTTGTGAATGAGCTCGATAGCGTACAAAATATAGTTTGAAGCTGAAATCTGCGTTAAATAAAAATTCCAAATTAACTGTTTGATGCTCTACATTCCAAGAAGAAGAAGAAGCAATGGAAAGTTTCGACAATTTTTATAACTCACGTAGCAACGCTTAACACTTTGGCCACAGGGGATTTAATTTGGTTATCTGAAAATGACCAAAACCGTAGGGCAACTTTTATTTCCTAGAATTAACATATCTTTCTTATCTTACCATCCGAGAAGAACATCAGGCACGGAAAGATATCAGTCGGAAGTTGATATCGTATGGTTACCCAGAGACACCAGTTTTTGTTTCCCTGAATGACCCCCCCATGAATATGACTTGAGCCCAGAGTTTACCTAAGTCCAACCGCTCGGAAATATGTTTTTATTTATGCGCAAAAATGTTAGCAAAGACAGCTTTATTGTGCCCGAGAGATGCAGAATGTCAAGTTACAACCAAAAAGACATGTGTAGTCTTCACAACAACAGCCCCACAGACACACACACATATCTTCACCCAGAGACTCCTATTATGAAAAGTAAAACTGAAAATGATGTTTACGTTTATTTTTAATCAATATTTAAATTAGATGTAGATACCAGTTAAGAAAAACGGCACTTGAAAAGCTATGTCTAACAAGATATTTACGTCAAAAAGGTTAAGTTTTAAAAATTTATGCACATTTCTAAATGCCTCTATATACTCTCAATTGATTAAAATAGTAATTTTCCAAAACATCTGTTATCTAGTGATTAGTTATCGAATTGGTTATTGATCGATATGTAGTTCTCGTTTATCGTATCCTTCTTCCTAAGGCATTTCCACTACTGACAATGAGAATGAGAAGGTTTTATCGACTATGAGGAAATTCTACAAGAAAACATTGGAATGTTTGGAGGTGCTTAATAATTACATGCAAATTTATTGTGTCATTTTGTTTAATGATTTTCTTTAAGTCTGATTTAAAGATTCTTTTAATGTTTTGCCGAACTGCTTATAGAGAGTTCTAACACGTAAAAACATTATCGTCAAACGAGAACCATGTTATTCTAAAACAGCAACATTCCAGTGTGAGTCTTGGAACAGATATCCGCGTAGTCGCAGTACTACAGAAAAATTTCCTAGTCATGGAGAAAGAACGAAATATATAGGGATGGCGGATTGCCATCTCTTGAGGAAGGAAATGGGGAAACCATGTAGAAGAAGTAACCACTCACAATAAGTGACTGAATTTTTAACGCACGTTTACGATACTTTTGGAATTCTTTTGCATTTTGTTGCAAAGTTAGTAATGAAAATCAGTGCCTTTGAACCTAGTATTTCCCGATCTAGAAAACGTTTAAATGCAAACTCGCAACCATTGCTAATACGTTACAGCACTTCGTTTACCATCATTTATTTGTTTTATTTTTGAGCCAACAGTTATGAAATCAAGACTCTCATATAATTTCTTTTGATTAAAATTAAGCTCTGATTTTTAAAATATATTTTCCTTGTGCGATTATTTGCCCTAAGAAGTCCTTAACTGAGAGACGTTCTTTTGCACTGTATCGCAATTTACTAGCTCAAGTTTAGAGGTAGATGTGCCTGAAAACCAAGGGAAGCAGATCTATAATCAAAGTTCGAAAGTTGCAGTCCCTGAAATGACTACTTGTGGTACTTACCCTTCCATTAATTCTAAAAGAGGAGAAAGATAGGTCTCGATATATGCAGAATTATTCATGAGATGATGTACACATAGTCCACGTAAACAATTTCTAGGCGCCGTTCATACGAAATCGTCCAGTCATTTAGGTGTCATCACATACTAAACTGGTGGTAATTACTGATCTATATTTGGAGACGAACATTGGCAGTAATAAAGCATGTTTCACAATTTCATTTAATATAATAGAATATTCCGCATGTTTGTGGAATAGAATTAATGATTAATCAGAATTAAAACTGACCACATCAAACTCTTTCATAACCTAAAAAATTAGATATATCTGAAAGAAGTTTAAATCATCTTTTACATGAACATGAAGGGATATATGTTGTTCATCTGATTATCAACATTAAACTGGGCCAACATGTCTGATTATATAAATTGCCCAACGTATTCCAGTGGTATTTCAAACTATAAATGAATTTTTCTTTACCATTGTTCTAAACTGACAACTAAAAAAGTCGGCGGAGAATGAATAACATATTATTTGTGGCTACTCACAGTTGTTTATGTTGTCATATTTCTGCTTTACTACATCTCTGAATAAACTCAAGAATATAGTACCAGAGCAACTGAAAGATTTTTCATCTAGGATGCTATATTATCAAACGTTAAGAGACAATACCCTAATCTCTTCAGCCTTCTCTATATAATATAAAGTAGGGTTGCCAACTAGCGGACCGCGGTGCCATTCGTTGCAGCCTGCGAAACATTATTACTTCATACGAGAAATTGCATCCATGTCGGGCAAGAACATTGCCCGCCTAGCGCATGTGCCCTGTCGGGATCAACATCCCTTAATATAAAAATTCGTTCGGCTGTGCTCTGGCTTCGGCACGGCTGTGCTCTTAAACAAGACACACGCTCAAAAATTCGCAGAACACTGTTTTCGGCCCAGAAGCTGCAAGGTATGTACGATCCAGTTTGCTTACGCATCTTGTATACAATAACCAACTTGTTAATATTTCACATTGTATATTTGTATTGTTTTTAGCTCTGATGATGATCGCTAAGCGAACGAAATGATCATTAGTTGAATTAAAATATTGATACCTGACAATATCTCTATTTATTTATCAAAATAAAAAAAAAAAAGGTATCTACTTCACCAACAATCCAATTAATAAAAATTGATTAGAATAGATTATATTTCAGATTTGTTTCTAGTCAATTCATAAATTCAGAATCATTTCAATGTGTTTAACTGCGTTATCCCACGGCCTATTATCACGTATCATTTCACCTCCATCCCACCCCGTTTCAGAGCAGCCCGGCGAACTGCCGAGATCGACAAAACGAGGTCACATGTGGATCGCCCAAATAATGAAAATATGATCCGCAACCACATTAAAGGTTTTAGTTGTGGCCCTTAAGGTCATGCAAGTTAGTCATCCCCAACCCCCCAAACCTTGCGAATTTCGTTCACAGATTGTGTGTTAGAGCGTTGGGCCCATCTTGCGAAAAGGGGAATTACTAAAAGAGACAACTTATGACAGCAACGCAAGGGGAAATAAGTGACCAAAAGTTATTCCAAACTACAATTCCATATGTCTGCAAAGATGACATAATGATATAATGATGGCAAATGACTTTCCAAAAACAATACAATTAAAAGGCCAAAAACGGATATAACATTTTTTTCTTAAAAGTACTGGCGAATTAAAAATATTAGTTACAAAAGTAAATCCCAGCCTTAACGAACTTTCTTGAAAGAAATCCGCTTTGTGGCCGTGGCGGCGGGGCGGCAGCTGCAGCGACAACGCCCATAGGAGAATTCGAGCGAACACAACAAAGAGGCCACGTTGCACAAGCGGTCGCAAAGACCGTGGCTGTCTCTGCCCCCGCCACCGCTCCGCCCATCCCCACCCCTCCACCCTCTCCTGTTGCATGGGAAGCGCGTTCGCAATGTTGTTGCACGGCACAGCTTGTCATTTAAAGACTTGATCCGCGCCCCTAAAATGTGGGTTTCGAAAAGGAGGTTTCTCTTTACTTAAACATGCGTTCCAAACACTATTTGGTCAAATACAAAATGTTTATTCATAAAATACAAAATAATATAACTTTAGCACTATTAAAAGTTTTGCGTAATCTATTAGGCCGTGAAGGGAGAAATGAGAACTGAACGTGTTTCGGTGTGATTGTCTACACTTCAATTTTCCTTAATTGTTTAGTGGTAATATTTGACATCTGAGAAATTAAATTATTTTTTTTAAAGTTTATTAGATGATTCTTTTATGGCGAAGGTTATTTTTACTTGGCACCGTTGATTACTTAGTTTGTGAATCAGAGGCACGGGTGATTTACACAATAATCTTTAGATACAATTCCAAAATGGAACACTTTCCACTCATTTAGTTCTTAAAGAAATACATATGGGGCGTTGTTTTGTCGCAAGGGTTTTTTTTTTGTATAAAACTTTTCCTGTCATATTGCGGACATTTTCAGCACGATGAGGCGGCGGGGGGCCCCGGTACAGACAAAACAGCTGTTTTGTAGTTTGTGCAAAATTACTACATACGTGAG